TGATGCGAAATCTTTAATAATTTGCACATTAACAATCAATTTTTGTTCAAATTGCTGTCAGTCTTGATTACCTTTTCAAATATCTACTTGTAAAAAAGCTATACAGATTCTAGTATAGTCACTTCTGGCACAGTTGTTACTTGAACAACGCTTATCTGATACCGTGCGTCGGACTCTCGGTTGATTGTAATTGAGCTCCGCACGCGGTCATACCTCGAAGACGATTCAAAGAAAACACGGGGCCAATCACTGTATCTCTATGACTCTCGATCATTTCCAGATTTTCCAGAATAAATTTTTCTGAATTTAAAAAAACTTGATTACATTAAAACTAGAAATTCAACCATCATATTACCTATATCATTTATACTCGTCGAAAATTTTTTCACCACTTGCAAGTTTACAATGCTCCATCTGTTGATGAAATCAAAAAGCTCATAAAATTCCTCATAGAAATTTTCAATGTCTATAATTGACTAATGATCAAAAAATGACAATTTAAAATGTTCTAAAGTACAAGATTTACTTTTAACAACTTTACTGTTAAAATGATGTAATAATAACTAAACATGCTTGAAATGACCTAAAAATTACTATTTTACCGTTTCAAACAAATTCAAATGGATTTCAATCACTGTAATGATTGTATAAATCAAAATATGGTTTCGCAAAATTTCATATGACAATGAAAATTACCATTGTGGATAATAAATGTGACCCAATTAGATTTATTTCTAAGTACAAAAATTTAAGTACAGTTAACAACAATGTTAATGAATTTATACAACAAATTCAATTTAATTGACATTGTACATTGAAAAAATATTTAAATGATCACTACCAATTTTCGTTGAAAACACCTGCACTTCTTCTTTAAATTGTTCAAGGAGGTGTAAAAATGAATACTTAAAAATGGTCAGTTTTTGCTGGTTTGTTGTTTATACCCAAAAGTACCGTGGGGAAATCATAAAAATTTGATAAATCAAGTGAAGAGTCTTGGCGAAATAATATCACTTGATTTTTCATAATTTCGAAATTTTTCCATTTTAAAAGAAGTTTTACCCCTATTTTTTAACTTTGCAGGCAGTTGTATTATAATCCAATATACCCATTGGCCCTCATAAAAAACCGAAAAAATCAATTCGAGGTTTGGTCGATTCATAATCCATTAATCAAAATGATTTGATCGTAATTTGAATTTATAATATTTTTATAACTCGTGTAAATGAGTGATTGCAAGCAGCTAGCGTTATTTATCTTACACAATAATGGATAAATTAGTTCAATATTCATCACTAATACACAGAGCTCTAGAAATACAAAATAGCAGTTAAATGACGATTTGGTGTTGCCTCAAACAAATTTACACTGTTCAACATAATCTCACGTGCTCTGCGCCAATTTACATATTCTATTGGATCTATCTAATGCCCGACTTTGTATCAAATTAATAAGTTCACATGGATATTTAATTTATATACAGAGCATGTATCAATGAGTAACTAGCTTCAAATTAACGACCAGCTGATCTTGAAACGAGGATAATCATCTTGAATGCTTCAATACTTAGATAAACCTTTGATAATTAGATCAGTCTCAATGCTACTGACTGTTAAAGGGCTCAGAGGGGGCTTAGTATTCTATCAATTTTTATATTTATATTTTTACATGGTGGTTGTTCGGGGCAACAGCCAAGAGAGATGCATAATTTTTCGTCTAGTTCGTTTTCTCTGCGCCAAGTCTGCACAATGCGGTTCCGATTTGACGCTTTATTCTTAAATGATAGGAAATAATTAATTGAATTTTCTCAACTTATTTATTATTTATCATAGCTTCCTTCATATATATTAACTATTGAGCAATCTTTTCCGTGGTGAAATTTTGCATGAAGTTTATAAGAGCAACGAATAATCGTAAAAAAAGTTTTTCAATGAGATCAGGCGTTATTATACAAAATACTTCAATTTTATATGTTTATACAAAGTTTTAAAAATAAATCTAAAGAACTTTTTCAGAGACTTTGACACTTCATTATTTTAGACATAAAGATTTTTAATATTACTTGAAAAAAACAAATTTTGAGTAAACAATACAATTTAATGTACATCCCTTAGGAAACAAGCTTCCAAACATGACAAAAGTTCATAGTTTGACCAATGTACTTACACGAAACCTTAAACTTGACGCACTTGGAAATAAGCAATTAAAACTAGGAAACTTTAAAGATTAGTACTACAACGTAACTTAATATTCAAATGGCAACTCTTATTATACATAGCTTTCAATTAAGATTCACATAGAAATGAAAATTGTTCATAAGTTTATGTAACTTATTATTTAGAAAATAATTTATGCTTTGATTTCGATCAATCATAATTAAATGAGATAAATATCATTCACCATAAGATGCCTCAGGGTTTCATAGCTTATGAATATAGCGTAAACATATACACCGGTGCATAATTATCTCATCAATGAACATATCTGATGTAATGATTCAATTATGCATGAATTTAGAGTTAAAAATCAATTTAACTTAAAAAGTAATATAGATTGTGAAGACATATTATAGTTGGAGCCATATTTAAAGCTAAGGTAATTTATTCAAAATCTGGTATAATTTGAACCTGCTGTGATCTTCCTTTTCTACTATTTGGTTATTTCCTTTTTATATAAATGATTTACCGCTATTAAATTAAAGAACAGCTGGAAAATGGTGTTTTTAGACATGATCATTTTGTTCAATATTAATATAACATTACATATTAGTAATAACTTAACATCTAATGTATATCACAGTTATATGTAGACTAGGGTGAAATTGTCCATTTTTTATAAAAATATATTATTGGAGTAATAATAAAACACGTTCGAAAATTGCGAATTTCGGACTTTTCTAAACTAGACTTTTCTAATACTTTTAAAGTCAAAAATGAACTTGCTATAATTTATAAAACAGAATATAATCACCACATCCGCTAAAAATTATAACATTATTGTATCCAATTTAAAAGTACATTTTTTCGAATTATTTACCAAAAATATATCAGTATAATATGCACTTGAAAATAACAGTTATATCGCTAGATTCAAATGATTCATAGTGCTACGTTCCACAAAGGATATCCTAATGTGTACTCGACAAGTTTGGTGCAGGCCTCAACTTGTGTACAATAATACAGGATCATCTCTGGGACCAATCAGCTTTGACTATAGAAAATCAGGCAGATACAAAGAGATAGATATACAGACCGAGATATTGACTTTAGTATGGTCACCATCCTCTATATGCATAGCTAGATGGAACAGAATGCACTGGAAGTTGCACTACACCCTAACTTTGCTAATTTTATTACGATCATGTGAGGCAAGGGATATCTATAGCTCTTGAATCGACTTTTAACCTAACTCAATTTTCTCACACATCTACATCGAATTATTTAGCTATTAATATTCAAATGCGAATTTTTTTTCATTCATCATGCATAAATAACTATTTTTCATTTTGAGTCCAGTGACCAAAAATAGAAAGACTCATTCTCAAAACTGATCCCATTACCGATCAAGCTTAAATAATCATCGCCAAAGTTTCACACAGATTTGAATTTGTCGTACCTGCAGGTTGGCTAAAATGTCACTCAGCTTTGCAAATCATTTGACCTATCAATGCTGCTTCGGTAGGAACGCAACATACACACATGTACTTAACATTTCACTCCGATACGTATAGTAAGCAATGCGTCCAAATTCATAAATGCGTGGCTGCACAGGTGAATTTTCGAGAGTCAGACAGGCACGAAAAAATACTCTTTCTCGATCCATATCTATTTTTTGCATTCCAGAGCTGTCGTTCTATCCGTACTTTTGGTTGAGTAAATTCATTCTTCCGTTTCTTTTTCAACATGCACACCGTTGATTATAATATATTTTTTCCCTATAAAGTCGAATTAGGAAGCAAAATACAAAAGTTAAGAGCAAGTTACGTTTTTAACAATTTTTTACTTTATTTATGGTAACTATGCTTTTTTTTTTAAATATTATTTTCACTGGCTGCAGCATTGTCAAAGTTGAATACATACCATTTGAATGTATGTAGAACATTTATAAAAAGGATTATCGAGGCTACAGTTCGGTAAGGTTTAATCTACCAACATGATTCTCAATTTTTTCAGCCATCGTAAACTAGGGATCAATACGAAAATCCCTAGAAATAAAAATCATACAGATATACTCTGACTAAGCTGGTAGATCTACGATGTATCGGGATGAAATGAAACATTGCCAATGCAGAAATCATCTTAAAATACGAAGCCGTTAATGTTACTACTTGTATGGGGACGTTCAAAAGTCGACATGTCTTCTAAGTATCTCGATCGACACAAAAGAGACACTTTTATACTTGTATGACTTCAGTCGATAAATTTCCAAATAAGCTTGGGTCGATCATTATCTATCACGTATAGCGTCTGGGAACAATTATAGTTCGAACGACAAAAATTTATACAAAAAAAATTTTCAAGATAAACTTCTTGCGAAATTTTATTAAAAATATTTCCACATCTGTACATTGGTTGAATGATATAATGAAACAATTAATGAACGTGAAAACTGCTTGGAACTAATCTCCTTTTTACCACATGTCACAGTTTACATCTTTCATCTTCATACTTTTACTTTCAAATGTTTATTCTATTTTAATAATTTTAGAACGAAAATAAACTGCAGGGATAACAGGTTGAAAGCAAAAGAAGAACAACAAACATACATTGCAGTTTTTCGCTCGTAACATGTACACAGTGAAGTATCGAACAAGTACCATATATGCATGTACGCACCCGAAAAGTCGAGTGCGCTTTTATCTGCCATGTTAATTTACCCGTACACAAAGTTCCTTTTTTCATTTTTTTTTCACCCCTGGACATTCCAAATATAGCTTGGATATTTAAAAAACTTTTGACTCATTTTTCACTTCCAAAATATTTATTTATTGAAAAGCAAAATTTGTTATTCAATGTATTAAATTTATTTTTATTTTCATTAATTTTTTAAGAAAAAAACAATTACATCACACGTCACAAAAAAGTGTTCATTATATATTATCATATAATATAGTTAACATTTTCGAATACATCTCTACCTAATACTCAAGAAGAAAAAGTGAATAAAAAAGGTTAGTAATAATGATATTATGGTAAATTGTGAAGTATTTTTAATTGACGAATTTATGAGTCCAACTTTTATTTCACGCACGGGTCTTGAATAGTTGGACATCAATTCAGACCAAAATGACATGCGTTCTGGTAAAAAATTAGATTCCATATTTATGTCTGTTCTGTGATCAGATCCAAGCCTTAAGAAACGATGTGCTTTTTGGAAAGGTTCCCACTCAGTTGTTAATCTGGCGCTTGGTACTCTGATTAAAAATTGATTTATTTATAAATGAAGTAAAGTATTTAGAAAAAAGATATTTAAAATTCGAAAATTACTTACCCAGTTTGTGCAAAACTACTGAATAACTCACACATTATGTTAATCATTGTTATATCTCCCAATGTATTCATCAGTTGCAGTTCTTCAAATTTTTTATTCAAAATGGGAAATAAATAATTTGCATCATCACCATGAGCAACACCTAAAAGAAATTTTTCAATTAAACTTTTTGTCTAAATCTACTTATTCGATACATATGAATATCCGACACATATTTATTTACCGAAATGGAAAGGAATGTCCCATCGAAAAGTATTGCTAAATGTTCCTTCATACGAGAAAACATAAAAATAAGCATTAGACTTCATTTTTGCACTTTGAATTTTCAAAGCTTCGTAAGTTGGCCATGCCATAATACCATCTCCTATCATCTAAATAAAAATAATAAATACAATTTATAAAGTTGCAAGCAAAGTCATGAAAGGTTTACACATTCTCTATTTACCTCGGTTATATTTTCATCAAAAAGTTCAGGATCAAGTTCACCATTAAAATAAAAATTCACTATTTCTCTATTAGAAGCATTAAAATCTTCAATATTATTTTGAAGTTCCAAAACATAAGGCAGTAAAGAGTCAAAATTCTCCAAAAATTCCTCTTTTAATTGACTCATTAAAAATAGATCTTATGAATTAAGCAAACATTAATATATTTTTATAAACATACAAAAAAAATTATAGGTAATGAAGTTACCACTAGTTTTCACGAGACCCTCATCATTTACTAATCCAGATATCCAAGGTATATCTCTGAATTGGCCATGTTTTAAACTGTAATCTGGATGTGTCGTTATAACAGCCCCGTCAGCTTCAGCTTCTAACGTTGGTCCAAAGTAACAAGCTGGATTTCCTCGCCATTCAAACTGTACATATTTACTACAATGCATTATACGACCATTGTAACATGCATTTTTAATATGAAAAATTATAGAAATAATAAGCACATGCATATCATGACTTCAAGCAATCAAAATAAATTTGGATTCATTCGAAAACACCAGAAATGTAACTGAAGCTAATGCATATTAATGTTATGCACTATATGTGACTATAAAATAGGAAAATATTTTATTAAAATTTACCCAATATCCTGCTTGCACTAATTTTTTGTAATCAGCTTTCTTTAGACATTCAAGTACTTTTTGATCTTTAGCATCTTCGGTCAAATAATTGTTTTCTTCGATTAATTCAGTGTCATTGCCACTACCTTCATAATCTTCTAGCTCCTCTCTTTCCAAAATACTCTCAATATCACACAGCAACCGTTTTGCAACTACCATCGATGAATTTCTTATATCTTCTCTAGTGTGAAAAGCCCAGGGGGCAGTGGCCACTCCACTCATGGTGATAATCTGTATTTATCAGAACAACAATAAAATTTTCTCGAACAAACGTCGATTTTTCGGTTTAATTGAAAAGAGCTACCTTATGAAAAAGATTTTCCGTAGCATTGCTCGTGGCCAGCAAATGCACGGACGCAGCACCGGCACTAATGCCCACTAAGGTTACGGATCGTGGATCGCCACCGAAAGCCTCGATGTTATTTTGCACCCAATGGAGAGCCGCAACTTGATCTTTGAGTCCGTAGTTACCGGGTGTGACCGCATTTCCTGTACTGAAGAAACCTGTGCTCACGCAATTGTAATTATAATAGACTTTTTGCAACTGTAAAGAGTTAAATCCGCGATTATTCGATTCTTTCTTTACATCTGGGATGCGGCTTAAGCTAATGAAAATCCATAGTAATTTTTTCCAGCTAAATACAACTCGATAAACATCTAGCATTATTTTTACTCAAAGATTCAAGATTTACAATGATTCAAGCTCGTGAGCGAAAAAAAATTGTCAACGCTGTAGAATTTTTTTATAGCCACCGTCAATTCATAATTCAACGCCTAGTAGACTGTTCTAGTATAAGCTTCAACTTCATATGCAGATACAGTCTTGTTAGCGCGTGGAATTATTACTCATTAAAGTGCCTTTGTGTACAGAGCAGCGCGCGTCGGGGCAGTTGCTTTAACCCGACGCTCGCACATATCGTAAATATGTATACGCTCTCGCAGAGGCTTGTCTTATCAAGCCTTGTTTAATATAGTAAAACTATCAAGTTAAAATCACCCACTCACCAAATACATTAAGCCGGTAATTGAAGGTAACGAGAACGACATCGTGATCCAGCAGATAAGTTGGGGCTAATTTTGACGTGTTACTACTGCCGAAGTTAAAAGAGCCGCCGTGTACATAAACGATTACAGGCAGCCTTTCCGAGCCGCTCGTAGTGGTGTCGTTAACTTCGTAAACCTGTTGGACAAATTTCGAAAATCGCCCCGGCTTAATTGAACGAATTGAAGAAAGTTTCAAGATCAGTTTAAAACTGTTGCGTATAAAAATGAATCGTAAAAGCTCGAGATGAAAATTTCAAACTTGATGAAAATATGATTCCATGTAAAATGAAATAAAAACTACATAGTGTTAAACAATTGACTCTCCAATGACCTTGGCAAACAATCAAGCTTGATGAATGCTATTAAGCATATGGAGTCATATTTCATCGTTCGACGAGGTTAAATTTTTGTTTGCAGTTTGTTAACATGTGACGTCACTCAAAATCGTCAATTTTTTTTATCTATGATATGTATTTTAAATCTTTGCGTACTTACGACTGGGGTAAACACATTGATATACAAACAATCTTCGCTACCTAAAATTTCGGAACTACCGACATTTCCCTGAGCACAAGCCGATTGATCTTCCGTGGCGTTCTTTGTTTCGTTCCATTTTTCTGTCCAGAGTCGCGGGTTCTGCAACGTTAATCATTTTAGTGCAAAAACAAATTACGTTTTTCAAGCCAATTGAAACAATATATCTTTTACTGTCACTATTTTGAAATACAGTCGAACATGCGAAATTTAAAAATACGTCGTTGAAAAGATACTTTCAATGCAAAAGCGGAAAGAAACTTTCAAATATTCAAACTTTGTAGCAGGAGTTTACGCCGAGAAAATAAAATTGAACAACTATGCTGTACATACCTCAAACCTAAGATCCCCAACCGGCGGTTCAGCATAAGGGAGTCCGATGAAACCTGCAATTTCTCTCTGTCTGACCGTCGAAAGCCAGAGTCCTTTAACCCGGCCAAAATTTGTATTCACTTCGGGCGGCTCTTTTACGGCCAGCGATACCAACACTCTCGAAACAAGCACCAAGAGCCCCAAAACTATTAATGATTCAACTCTGCTATTCATGTTTAGTGTGTGGCTTGTAATGATGAATCGACATGCGAACGACGCGATCGTAACCTTTTTTTATTAAAACGTATTTTTAAAGAATCGAGTTTAATATCTGAGTTCCTGGTGCTCACACAAACACTTTTTGAAATATATATTGCATACGTTTATATTATCGATCGATTTTAATATCAATAACGATGGTAATTTGATTATCAATTAATGATTCGCCAATGATTTGGTTTCAAACTGGTCTAGATTTCGGCATTAATTATTAATTTCCGTTAAAATCAATATATGGAGTTTATAATGCACCAGTGGTTATTTGATATTATTTGTGCAATAAATTCAATACTGCCAGTTGCGATAAGACATTACATCTCCGATGAATTTACATCGGTCTTACTTGAATTAACCCTCGGAGTGAGCAAACAAGCACAAGTTAATGAAATTTCAACAACTATTTGTTATGCTTGAGTGCGCGCGCGTGTAATTCGTGCACAATATCGAACGATAAACTGGTTGGAAAAACTTGATCAACATATATCGCACGGAAAACACAATAATTGTTATATAGTGAACGGCGGCAGCGGCAACTGTAGCAACACGGCAGAGAGGACAAAACTGAGCGCTACATTCCGAAAATGAAAAAGTGGCCAGCCACAAATCAAATGGTTTATTCGAGGGTAATGTAGTGGAGGCGTGTTGCACCGCGCGAAATCAAACTGCGGTCGAACGCGTGCACGAACTGCGTTGCCGTGTGTCGCGAGCGAATATGCGGCAATATACACGCACACAAGCACAGCCAGTTGCTGTTCAACTGTCAGGATACGCGTGTGTATGTATGCTATATAGTTACAATAATATACGTCGACAATTGCGACGAGCAATCGCGGAATATAAGCGCCCGCGCGCGCGGTAAACACACGAGCGCAGCACCGAGACCAAGATCCCGCGAGCTCTCGACGTGTGCTCCACTTTAATTATTCCCCGGGCCACGTGACGCCGCGTAAAAACACAGCCTCGATGCCATAAAAATGATGAACTGTCGTCACGGGCGATACACGATGGCAAAAATGAGAGTGAGCGCATTGTGTCAAGATGAAGCCATCGAGCTATGCCATGTCTTATCTAGATATTTGATGTTGACTTATTCAGCTTTTGCCGCAGCTAATAAAAAGTCTAGATTAAAAAGAATTAGCATCTTTACTTTTAGATTATTCGAAAGTGGAGTTTAAATGACACATTTAACCTTATATTACCTTTAAAACACATTTTCTTCGAAGATACAATCGAGAGATGATATTGAAAAAGCTCTGTATCACTTCTAAAAAAATTATGTACGTCTACAAGAAGAGGCTTGAATATAAGAATTTTTTAAAAATCAATATGAAATCGTGTAACATTAAACTATAACATTCAAGCTAAATGTATTCAAGGTGCGAGAAAAAGTATGCGTCATGATTTTGATGAGTAACGCTGAAATTTCCGTCGGAAAATTTTTTCGAAAATGAAACATACTTTGTATTTATAACTTTATGCATTTATCGTATCATCTATTTGATTCGCTTTTAGTGCCTTTGAAGAGAGGTAACCGTCTTTATGTACTTTAACTTAATGCTGATGAAAGATGACGAGGACGAATCGATCTGATATCAATTACTGACGTAATTTATATTCAAATGAGTTTTATTATTGAAATTCATGATATTATAGAAAACCACAAAAAGTTAAATAAAACACGATGAATGTTTAGAATAAAAAAATATATTTAATCTTGAATAAATTAATTCTAAGCTGAGCCCTGAAACCATATACCTGTAAGATAATAATGCATTGATTAATTCTGCAACATCTTAAAGTAAATATAGCCAGAGCATGCTCAATTAAGGAACATGCTTCAGCATCCATTAGTAACTAATCCGTCAATTAATGTCTTGGACCGACCATATTCGCTCATCAATTATGTTTTTTGAGCTGATCTGTCCACTAACTCAAATTTGATTAAACTACCGTTGAATATAGTAAGATGTCTTAGTTATCGTAACTATTTGAAAAATTTGCGAAATTAGATATCAAACGTAATATTTTAACGGGCAATGTATCAGAATGTAATGAACATTTTGCGTAATGGACAATACATAATGTACATTATGTTAAATTAAACGCATGTGCTTAGTCACGCAAGTCGAGCAACAGCAGACCAATCGATCGGTCGCGCGTCGTTCGTTAGCTAATCAACATCGATTCGAGCGTGAGCGAGAGCTTCAGCTTTATAATAAATATAATGCGTTCTTATTGCCTGTATGCATACCACAATATTGGATAATTCAGTTCAATATTCATCGCCCATATTCCGAGCTCTAGCCATACAAATTTAGCAGTTGAATGACGATTCGGCGTCGCGTTGCTCTGCGGCTCCTTTAAATGTGTACATTATGCGCGCCTCAAGCAAATTTACACTGCTAAACATAATCTCGCGTGCTCCGCTCCAATTTACATATTTTATTGCGTGTATCTAATGTCCGACTTGGTATCAAATTCACATGTTCACATGTATATTTCATTTGTATACTAGCTGGGGGGCAGTTTAGCTAATACAATAATGGAAAAACTCGTATAAACTGTCAAACTAATTATTTTAAATTAACAAAACTTGAAGTTTATTATTAAACAGAAATAAAACCATCGAGTTGTTCGATGGTGTACCAATTATTCTTAGCTATTAAGTGAGTTGTGAAAATATTTTTTTATACTTTGAAAAATTATAAATTCAAATGTTTGAATATCGATTAGATCTGCGAGCAATAGTTGACTCGAATCAGTTAGATAAAAAAAAAGTGGAGAATCGTCGGAAAAATTTTTACGAACTAATTGAAACGGCATGTACACGATGTTTAATTACGTGCCGTTGAATTATGCGCGAAATCGATTGAAATATTCAATTAGCTTTACCACTTGCTATTACGTGCAAAACTTACCTGGCGAGCGCCAGTAGTCAAACTCGTTAATGACGTTCGTAAAGTTGATCTTGCCGGTCAAATGCTTGACTGCGTTGAAGCCTCAAAGCCTCTCGTATGCAATATCTTACCTGTAGAAATTTCTCGGGACTTTGTTGAGTCGCCTTTGCACGTCGAATCGACGTCTCTGGAATCGTTTCGCGAGTTCACGCAGCCTCCGAGGATCGATGCGGCATCGGCATGCCCATCAGTCGATAAGTCACGTCGACGACTGCCTCGAGAAATGTTGCGATTTCGCTGCGAATTTCATCCTGCTTGATTGGCGAGTTGTTGAAGATAATTGTAGCCTTGAAGAGAAGTATAAAAATCTTACAAGCATAAAATAAGAAGAGCTGGTGATAATTAAAAGAATAATGTCGTTGGCCGAGCGGTTTAAGGGCCAGTGAAACTAACGATGCCTCGGTCAATTCCAAAACTCCCATCTCGAGTCTGTGATGGGCCATGAAACCAAACGTCACGTCGTTGATGAAATCGTCCAGTTTGTAGATCTTCTAGGGTCCGCCGTTGGTACTCTCGGAAGTATAATCGTCGTAGAGAGTCCGTAGCACAGCCTGATGAGAATAGTAGTCCAAGCACCAGACGTTGTATCTTGAATTACAATATAGTGCCTCTAAAGCTCGCTTTTCGTTTTAAACTAATTCCAATTTCATTTCGTCGCTAATCCGCATTACCCATCTCTGCGCGTTCAAAGCCAACTTTTTTCACCGAGTTTGCACCAAAATGAAAAAAAAAACGAATAAATAAGTGAAAGCACTTAATTTATTTCGAGCTGTAAATGGGTTTATCCAGCTCTTGATTCTCAGTCTAGGTTATTTCTGTTTACGACAATATACATGTAACATTAAGTTTTGGTCGCGCATCCGTCACATTCAAAAGCTCGAATTCGGTAAAATTCTCGACGATAAGCGAGAACACAAGGGATGATATTGTACGTCGCGCAGAATAATAGGTGTAGAGCGAGATTGATAAGGTGGCAATCTAATGTCGTTACACGTATACAAATGTACGTCTGCTACGGCTCATTCAATAGTGATTTCATTCAGCCTGTTATCTCGGAACAAACTTGTACTTACTCGCGCGCGCGCTACATAGGGTTGCTGCGCGGCACAATGACGCGGTTTATACATCGGTTTCTGTTATATTGCTCGGTCATCGCGTACAAAATTGCTGCATCTTTTAAAAATTCACGTTGAGGTGCAAATAAATTACTCAAAATTGTAACTATTATGAATTAAAAATTTGAAAATATTCAAATTAGGAACTTCTGTTTCATTTGCAAAATATTGAGAAATATATAGAAATCTGACAGAAATTTAACTTCTGGGGATTTAGTTTGTCCTTGTGGATTTGATAATGACATCTAGCGGTAAAACTTGTACTATACTTGCATTTCAACGAGAAATGACGATAAACGAAGCTCAAATAGTTTTAGGTTTTACGACGCCATTTTAATTTGTCACTAAAAATGCATAAATACTTGTATTGATTATTATTTATTTATAATTATGAACAGTAAGCGCTGAAGCAACTGATTCGGTCCACTACCCTATCCGCAAACGATTTTTAATTATTAAAAACTCATGTGCGTATATTATCTATCAGAGAATGTGCACAAACATAGATTCACGTGAATATATAAAACTTTGTGGAAAGAAGTTTCACTGCAAAAAACATATCACCGACTGGGAACTAAGCTCAGTCTCGTGCCTTTGGCACACCCACGCACAAACTTTAACCGCCTGCAAAATTAAAGCTACGGGATTCAGTTATATATGCGCGGAGCTTTTCCTATTGTCGTACGTCAAGACCATGAGCTTACGGTTTCCACGCAAACTCGATATATATACGTGCATGCAAGGCACGTGCATACACGTATACGGCCGCAAAACAATGAGACAGCACGTAACGATCGTAGCGCGTTCCCTGCAGTATGATACGGTACTCACGTAGACGACGACGACACATACTTTAAACTCGAACACCCCGTTGACCACTGCATGTCATTTGCAGCTTCGTCGTCTCGCCCTGTATACGTGTGGGTGGCTGTGTGTGTGGTCCAGTCCGAATGTCAGGTTAGCTACGGATGTGGGGCAAGCCCAAAGTCTATCATGAACAGCTGAAGCAACGTTGAATCTAAACTTGCATTTTTCAGCACGGCTCGCTTGTGGTTCTAGTTTATGAATTTCAATTCTGTTACAATATTGTTTAACCGTTTTAAATAATTTTTTCAGGATCTTTGTGTATGAAAAAAAAAACACTTTTGCGCAAGTCATGAACTCTTTAGTCGCCATAGTATTGAAAAAAAGATGTGATTTTCCGTTGAACGCAAGATCAAAGTCGACATCCCCCTTGTCTCTGTATGAAATCTGTCTCCGAAGAAAACATTGATATTGTCGTCTTCGAGAACGTGAGCAGCAGAATATCTCGAGTTAAACCATTGCCAAACTAGCTATGTATACGCGCACACATCACGTCGGTCCGATATTCGTCAAATGGAATTGTTCTGTCGCACACGATACTCGCGCTCCACCGGATAAAATCTTGATATATCATGTATTTGCCACGATGTGAATAGATAGATACGATATATAATTTGAATAAAGTTACTAAACATTTTCAAGTTCAGTTATAATATGTTTTATGTATATCAAGAAAATTAGCAAATAATTTACTTTAGAACAAAGTAGGAGTAAGAAATATGTTTTATAGCGAAGTTATTTCCACGATAAAAGGTTAATTTTAACGAAATAAAAAAGAAAAACTGGAAAACTTCTTTTTAATGATTTTTAAATAAAAAGAGCACTCTTTCTAAAAGTTTTCTTTGAGATAGAGTCATGATGGCTCGGGGGGCAAGGGAAATTCAGCTTCAATTGAACATTTTATCAATTCAGTTGAAAGCTTACAGTTTGAGATTTTCGAAAATCCTGTCCAATTTTTTGACACCCACGCTCCAAGGATTTAAAATACTCAATCAAAGTTTTATTATACGGTTTATACTTTTTTCAAGAGCCTTTCATCATGGAATATATATTAAGGTAAAAAGAAAAGTCATCCCTTCTGATTCAATTTTCAAGCCGTAGGAGGGAAAAACTTTTACTACGTACCCGCAAAAATGCGAAGAAAATAGGTATACCTGCCTAATGGTATATTCATGACTATCGCGAGGCAAAAAATCGATCCTCTCTGCAACAAGTTCGCATACATACATCCGTAAGAGCATATAGAGTAAGTAGCGTCGACATTCCGTGCCGAGCGCACATTACCCTTTCAGTACACAGTGGATAATTTTTTTCCTTTCCTCAAACTCTCCCGTCCCCTCGCCCGTTGCCACCTCTATCCCTCTTTTGCCCCGGCAAAATCCTTTTTCGATAACACGCGCGGCGCCTTTTAATTTTCACGGCTGGTACCGGTCTCTAATTCCCTACTGTAATTCTTCAGGCAGCTCGCGTATCGCGCACCACTGAAATGGAGTAAAATGCAACAACAAAAAAAGAGGACGCAGAAATTACAGATTATATGGGCCTAGAGAGAGTATTTCTATGCCGAGTGCGACTGCGAAAAAATGAAATAGCTCGATGGATGTATGACGAGGAAAGCGACTTCACTATACATTGCTCAAGGTCTTAAAAGACCATCAAGTTGCTCATTTTTACGCTTTGTCCTCGATAAAAAAATGTTTATTTTTTGTGTCATGCCAAAGGCCACTTTTCAAGCTAGGCCCTAAAAAGATTAGTTTCACTCAAACCCATGGGCTTGTAGTAAGTGGAAAGGATAAGAGCTTGTAAGCAAAGTAATGCTTACCCCAAAATTATAATTTACACCGCTTACCATTCTCAACTAACTCCTGCATGTAGCTTTCAAAAATGCACGCATGTATGAGCGTTCACATGCATTCTGTACTCGGTACATTTTTCCCGTCTTTTTTACTTCAGAAACTCAGTTTCTCTCATTTCTTTTTCCACGCCTATTACGATCACATTAATTGTTTTAAAACCGATTTATTCATACTATCATTATCTATTTCTCTGAAATTTTTGTGAGTACTAAATAATAAGTCTATCGTTTTCTATTTACTACCGCAATTTTATCGAAATTCAGTCCTTTCTTCTTTAGAAAGACTGCATTTTCCGGCATATTGACGTAAAATATGTATCACTTTTTCTTTTCACCCGTAGTTTTTCTTATATTTTCGTGAATCTATTGTGTTAGCTCAACACTTTCCACTGCTTTTTGGAGGCCGAAACAAACAGCTAAAACTATAGTGTATATTTTTGGTACTATTCCAGCGAAAAGTGTGTTCGTTTTTATTTTTTAAAAAATAATTGTAACTACAGTGCTGTGTATCCCTACAACGGTAAAAAATAATACAGTAAAAAGTTTTACGGAGATTTGTGAATGGTACCTACGAAACATTTATTAAAGTCCGAATTGAACATTTACAAAAAAATCACTACTTTGCTCTAGGCCAAAAATAATGCGATAGAAACATTGGAAGCTAAACGAGCTTATCCTAACTCTGAAAATTCAGTTTTACGACTTTTTCTAATAGGTTGATGAAATAGGCCGTCCAAATGTGCTTCTATTTTTTTTTCGCTCAACAGCCTTTTATTAAGTCGCCATTAGCATCACGAACTGGTTTTCTTTTAACGCAAGATATCGTTGATTATTACCCTTTTCTCATCAATTCTTTTGACCCATTTGAAGTATAATATCTATTTCGACTTTTCAAAGTTTAATTAACAAACCTTTTAATTGGTTTTCATGTACCGCAAAAATTGATTACTTTATTGACCTTCGTTTATCGATAAACTCCTTTTGTGCTCACAACTGATCAACAGATCATTTCAATATTTCAATGCAGCTGAATTATTTTTTACATTCAAAATTGTAAGATCCATAAATTTTAAATTTTTCTTTGGAGATATTTTACATACTTTACTTATACAGATCGACAAACTAATATAAATACTTGTGAAGGCTGACGCTGAGTAGCAGTATTTTAATTAAAGTTAACTATCACTTGCGTATAAAAAACAAATTTAGACTCCAATACTTCTCGGCCCAGTAAATTTGATCTTTCGACTTTGTATTTGACAATATCCAAGAATAATTTGATTAGAAATCTTATTAAAAGTCTTATTAAGACTCCTACTGCGCCCTAATCTCATTATTGATTAGGAAAAGTTAATATACTGCTGCGTTGGTTTACTAATCATAGTATGAACTGTTAACTATGCTACAGTGCAATTTTAATTTGACATTTTTAATTTGACTTGAGTCAATCTTGTTAAATAAATAGCTCAACAAAAAGCAAGGAATTAGTAGATTTTAATAAGCAAAACCTTTATAAGATACAAAGGGATCAAGAACGGCTACCTACGCATCGATCTTAAACAACGATATTGATTCACTTGGCCTGCAAAGAAATATATTTTAATTAAACTTGCATTGGAAGTGTTTTTTTATTCAAAGGTCTTTATAATATATCAGAGGCTTCAGATATATAATATATTTTAGTTTCATGCTGTGCTTTTAATTTTCGGAAAAGTTTTACAGGTTTGTTCTTTAACCGAAATCGAAATTAAATTCCTTGATCTGGGTGATCAAATTAAATTACATTGGGTATTTTATAAAAAAAATCTAGTCAAACAATTTTTATCAATACTTGCAATACCTACAATTTAGATTCACCAAATATTCAATAAACTGACTTTTGAAATAAGTGGATCATCTCTTTCATTCATTAACATGCTTTGTACATCAATTAAAACGAAGAGTCGATGATCAAGTAATTAAAGTGAGCAAAAAAATATGCGTAAGAATTTCCTGAAATTACAGTAAAATTAAGGTCAGTGATAAAAATTTGTTCGAAAATGTTTACGTTTTCCAATGCAAAACGAAACGAACGGTCGAATAAAAAAAAATTCGTCGACAGTCCCTCAAAGTTGATTCGAACAAAAGTCGAGCCAACGAGATTATGTTTGACGAAGCTCTCAAAGTATAAAATTGGCTTAAGGACTAGTACGTTAATAGACCCCGAAAGCATCTTTTTTTTGCTGCGCATGCCGAATTGTCTTAGGTCTCGGAATCAATAGTCCGAAAAAATTCCCAGCTCTCGCGCTCGGGGGGCGAAGTCTCCGGTATAGCAGCATCGCACACATCTACCCCCGCGCTCGGGCACGCACACGCCCACACACATAGACACAGAGAGTCTATGTTGGGCGCAGGAGCTAGCCTCTGACTTGAATCGAGTCCACATGGGCTATATATAGGCGTATCACGTAGAAGCCACGCGCTTACTACTACGTACGTTGGCTACGTAGCGACCTCGGGGCACACGCGTGTTACGTCGAGAGAGAGAGAGAGAGAGAAGCTGCGATGGTGTGGCGAAACGCGCGCAAGCATCCTGCGACCGGACTACTGCAGACTGTATAACTGCCGAGAGGTCTCGAACACGTGCGCGAAGCTCGCGGGGTTGCGCGCGCAGCCCACGGCACGATCAAATATCCTCTGGCACGAGAGCTTGCAAGAGGCCAGAGTGACTTGCTGACAAAGTCCAGCCGAGACTGCAACCAGTCATACACGGCTGCGGATAAGTTAAACGTTTTTCAGCGCAGTAAATTCCGCGAGCTTTTTTCTCTCTCCCTCGTATGTCCTGCACGTCGGCGCGCGCGAGTGTTTGCGCGGCGTTTCGCACGATCCAACGGACGTTATTCGAGTGCAGCGTATAGGACATAAAGTGGCGAGAATAAAGCACGACGCGTCTCTGCGGCGCAAGAATGAGAAAACTGCTCAACGGATGAGCTTGTGTGTGCCTATATTCCAAAACGCATAAGCGAGGCATACAGTCGACGGCCGAGCCGAGGACTGCTGCTTGGCAAGTGTTTGATGCACGACGTGTGTGCCTATATGCCGCTTCGAACTGCTGCTGCTGCTGCGAATACTTGTAAGAAAAGTAGAGGGAGAAGTCGCTAGCTGCGAGCCAACAACTGCGGCACAGGCAGCAAGAGAGAGGGAGAGCGCTGCTGCCGAGGCGAGAGAGCGAGCGCGCGCGGCGTGCCTTCCATAACCTCTAAAAGCCGCGAGCTTGACAGTCGCCCGAGCGTCCCTCCAGCGATCGGCAGCCGCCTATATATGTTCGCAAAACTTCTCTCTGTCTCTATCCGTCTCTCTTTCTCTCGCTCCGTATCTAGCTACGCAGACTCGCTCGGCACATTTATACGTGGTGTACGTTTGTGTGTGTTTCCTCGGTGTGTGTTGGTATATCATATACGCGTGCGTTTCTGCGCCTCCTTCGCCAGCAGCAGCAGCAAGAGCACCCATATAGCCGAGTTCCTCGCATTCGTATAAACGAATACGTGCGGAATAGAATACATCCTTCGCATCGATCAACGTTTTTTCTATTTTTCCACCTTGTCTCTGTGCTGTGTCGTACGCGTCTTTGTTGCGAAAAATCCTCCAGCGATTAATCAACGATTCTAACGCACTTTTCTTATTTTCCCCCCTTTTTTCTTTTTCCGTTTTTCGTTTTCAACCTTTATTTTGGCCGCCACTCGCGACCGAAGATCCTTGACTCTTTTTTGACTATTGTTCGTTGCTGTTGTTTTCCTCGTCTATCGAGTGTTCAGTGCTACTGCGACCATAAACCAGTTCATACAAAAGTGCAAATTATTTTGGTGTGCTACGTGACAAAACGTATCATTATTGAAAAGTGTCACAATTGAAAAAGAAATTAATAAGTTTGTGGCTTGTGTGCTTTCGAAATCAGTGAGATTAGAGAAGAGAGAAAAATAGAATAATTGTTCTCCGCAATTATTGCTTTGCTTGCCCAACGACATCGTGAAATTTGTGAAAAATTTTACACAACAACTAAGAGAATTTGAAATAAAAACGGCCCTCCAGCCTACCCATAATCGGTATGTATTTCGAACTCATTAACCGTTGCGAACACGTTTTATGCACTTGGTTTTGCAAAACACACATCAACGAGTACAAAACCATTAAATATGGAAAAAAGATCGAGCTCGTATTTTAAGAACGCGAGGGAAAACCGTTTGAAACCCCCGATTGAAATAACGTCGCAAACTACATTAACAAATCCGTGAACGAGGATTGAATAGATTTCGCCTCCAATTTTTCCATTGCCGAAACGAGCGCGTCGCGTCTCGTTTTCGAATTCTAAGTCTCACGCTGCTCTCTCGGTCTCTCTCTCTTTCTCTTTCACTCTCCCCCTCTTTCGAAATTCATCCCCTTGTAGAGCATTCCAAAGGAAAAGAACGTTCGTGGAAAAAAAAGGAGCGCGTCGCACACTCGCTCGCATACGTATATACTGCACAGTCGAAATATACCCATGTCTATAGGCGCGCACTCAAACGCACTCAAACGCACGTATACACACACACAGGGCCGTGCATTCACGTGAACGTATGTATACATTTATATACACGGACGCAAACAATCGCACGTGTGCCCACGCCTTTGCACATGCATTTTCAAAGGGAGAGAGAAAGTATGGGTGTGCAGGTACGGACGCCGCGCATGCATACACACAGAGTCAGACGTACTCGCGGTAACTCTGTATTTCGCGTACGTAACGTCGAGAGGCAGATACTCGCGCGCCATACTATATATACGTACGTGTGTGCGCCTATACATAAATGACGATAAAAGAGGAGTGAGAACGCATACAAGAAGTGACCGGATGGTGCGAGACTGCAGCACGCGAATTTCGAGAGCGCAGGCGCATTCCTCGAAACAGGTGTTCCACCACGATAGTAATTTTGCACGTGTGTGCGTGCGCGCCGACCTGCGTTCATGTATGTACGTGTGTCGTCGTACATGTGCTCGTCGTCGTTGCTCGTCGTGCAGCACACTGCGCATTTACGCACACGCGGACCGATAAAAATGTTTTTCCTAAACGGCAGCTGACCGTGTGTATTCGCCGGGCCGAAATGCGCTTTGTTCTGCCGCAGCCTGCCACAGGGCACGACACACAAACTCACACACCCAATGTATAGTATGTTATTTTGTGTGTTTCGCGTGTGTATGTGCGAGAGACGACGAGGACGACGATGATGTTGCGATCCTGCTGATTTTCGAGGGGAACGGCGCGTTAACTGGGTTTTTACTATGGGGTGATTTCAAAAGTTTTTTTCTCGCTACTCGCTGGCCCAACAACAACGCAATGTAATGGTTTTCCAATGCTTATAGCCTTATAGCCGGACTAAAGAGGAAACAAAAATCGGAGCGTCGATCGTTTTTGCCGCTTTTCATGCTGCTTTTGCGACTACTCCGCTCGATCCGCGCGCGAATACAATGTTCGCGTGTGTGTGTGTATATTCCAAAATAACTCGTGTTGTGTGCTGCTTGCGATAGAAGCGAACGTGACTGAAAAGCGCGACGATCAGTTACGAGCCACGCATGTTAAATTAAAACATTGATCCACGCCAGCTGCTACACGCGGCATTGAAATTCAGTCCGAGAGCTTTTTTCGCAGCACTACGCTATCTATAATCTGCCTGAATGAAATTAATCTTAGAGCAACTTATTTTTACTCTCTTATCGGGAAGTTTTTTTTGTTGTTTCCTTTTGCGTTCGTTTTTTTTCGTTCATGCTTTACGAGTTGACTTTTAGTTCGGGGCAATTGAAACGAATTCTCTCGCTTCTTTTTTCTTTTTTTTTTTTGTAGTGTTTAGGTCAACAGTTGTAAAAGCGTATATATAATGCAGAAAATGTCAAACATGGAAATACTTTCATTGGCGCGAAATCCTCGGCGCGTCTATTTGTTTGTGATGTTGCGCGCAAAAGTTAAAAGCCAAGTTTATATACGGGCGTACGAGCAATTAAAGTTTGAGTTATCTGGGCGAAATTCGCAAATGGCTCTCGCGCGCGCGTTTATGCCCGTTGAGTCATGAAAGCGTGGACGTACGTTGCATCGCTGGATGCGCAGTCTGTGTATTTGTGCGAATGCGTGTGCGGCGCAGTACTAGGCTGCACCGGGAGTGCCGCTGCTGCTGCTGCTCCGCACTTAAACGCGAGACTAGTGGCTTTTACGTGTTCTCGTTACAGCTCCGGGGGCTTCTTGTAATAAGTCCTTTTTGCGCTGCAACCCCAGCAGCCCATGTTCTATGTGTGAGTGACACGGCGGGCGCATGTGTGCGCGAGCCAGAGAGCTAGAGCGCGTTACATGCCTGCAGTAGTGCAGCCTGCCTAGTATTATATAGCATCGCTGCTGCTGCAGCAGCCGAGAAAGCGAATGACGAGCGAGAGAGACATACGCTCGTTTGGCCTGACAATGCGTGGCATAAGAAGCGCACTTTAGAATATTGCACGCGGTCTGCCGCTGCGTGTATACTGCACACACACACTCGGTCGTTGGCTCGTTTGTTGGGTGGCCACCCTTGCCGCGCATTGTTTCTTTACAATGTAGCCCACCGCGTTTTGAGTGCGTAGCCCTCGCTTTTTGTCCCACATTGTTTAAATATTGGGACACTTTTTTCTTCTGCGAGAATCTGAGAAAAGACCTTGATCGAATTATTAAATATTATTGACGCTCCGTGCTTTAATATTTTTTCCACGAGTGCTCATTGTCCTTGAGTCTGGCAATCGTTTCTTCTACTCGAACTTTCGGATTTACTTTTCATATTTCATCGAATTTGAATTACGACAATGCAATAAACCAACAGCTATAATGAAACTTTCGAAATGAAGTTTTCGTTCTTCTCATAAGCAAAAAGTTTTGCGCGGCACCCCCAGAGACGGAAATCGGCACGGAACTCGGCGAAATCTTTAAGTAGACTCAACATATTCAAACCGCTTAATCTCGAAATAATCCATTGTTTATTATAACAGGCGCAAATATATACACATCGTAACAGCCAAATGAGCGCGGCGGTGGCAAGGCAAGGCAAGGTGTTAGCGCGCGAGCTGCAGCAAGTTTCTCGGTTTAAACTTTTCTTGCTTGCACAATAAGGTGCTGTCGGTGTGTATGTTCGCGGTTTTCCAAGTTTATTCCTCACCTCTACACGTATACACGTGCTGATGCGCGCCGAGCGTATTATAATACGTAAAACACAAAACTGTAGTAATGCACTGCTGTTCTTTTCAACTGTGCTAAACTCGAATAAACGCTTGATTGTTACATTCACCGGCACGCGGATTATGACGTCGTTTCGTACAATAATGAGCCGGGAAAAGTGCAATAATTTTTATTTTGCAACGACTGCACGAGCTCAATGACATTTTTTTATCTTCGACTTGTGAATATTATATACCGATTGCTCGCAGGATCAACGTACGGTCCTAATTAGATAAACGCCCGAGAAATTAGAAATAATACTTCTCAATTAGATATAGTCTTGACAATCTGCGCGACCGTTAATGGCACTTGTGAAAGCAGCGAGTTGATATTACGGTCTTTTCCACGAGAGCCACCTCGTTCTTCTACAGCCAAGTTCATATTTTCCAATTCCAACAAATATTCGTTGCTCTCTCTCATATTCTCGCCTTACAATAATTGCAAGTTAGCAAAGATGACACTGGCAGCACTAGCAGCAGCAGCAACGACAGCATCATCAGACGGTTGAAAAGAATGCCTTATTTTCCATTTCCTCGCTGCCATGCCGCGATGGCACTTGAGTCTGAAAGTCTGCAATTGTCGTGCCACGCGCGTATATAATATATATAAAACCTATCCCGGAGATTCTACAAACACACACGCACGCACGCAGCTCGAGGAATAGAGTCGAGACCATTACCCGCGCGCCATCGTCAAGTGGTGTATTTTGCCTTATTAAGAGGTACACGTGCGTGAGGTGCGCGCAAGCTCGCGTGAATTATGTACGTTTGAAAAAATTCCGGAGCTCAAACTTGACGCGCAAAAAAAAAAAAAAAAATAACACGAATCGAGAAATGTGAAAATGATGACTAAGAGTAATAAAAGGTCTGCTGTGTGCTGCATGTGGCCCCTTCCCGTCTTGCATGACGCGCATACTTCATAGTCTCGCTTTGCGCGCTCGTATACACACATGCACGTAAGACATATATAGATGTGTACACGCTGCAGCAAGCCGGTACGTGCAGGTGACGCGTGTTTTTCGCGCTCGCGTCTATATCGTGCGCAGCGTATTATAAAGGCTCGCGCGCGCCAGCACACGAGGCATTACGTTACATAGTAATGATTATAATAATAACGTCGACACAGCTCCGAGCTTCTTCTTATTTGTTTTCTTCGTACGTATAACCTGCGGTATTTGAGCGCGCTACGTACGCTTTTGTAGCATTTTTCTCACACCACTCGTTAAAAAAGCCTTCGACGTTGCTAGCTAGCTAGGCTAGCTTTGGCTTTGGCGCTTTGCCTCGAGCTCGAATTAATCTCGCGGAAAAAAAGATTCGCCGTTTATTATGTGCACTTTTCTTCCGCGCGCGTAAATCTTTCGTCAATGATAATTCTTTATGGTAATTTGTTGAAAATACAATGCAGCTGCGATGATATAGTCCACGGTGAATCGACTCGGCTCGTTTTTATCGCCGGGAGAGCGAGAGAGACGATTCTTCGCTGGAAGAGAGCGGTAATATGCTACATGATCTCATCACTCTTTACGTGCAACACGACTAGGAGCCTCAATGAGCTATCCCACATAAATGAGAATTGATGTAGCCATGTATGAGCAATTTATTGCAATAGTAGACTTTCGCTTCTGACTCGCTTGATATTCTTCGCTTAATAGCAAATTTTATCAAAATAATCCTTTTATAAAATTCGATTTTCAAATGATTCGGCGAATAAGGTCAGTCAAAGGTATTCACGTGTTCATACACGTAAAAGTGAATAATATTTTATTCTTGCTGCGAAGAGTCCAAAGCCTATAAAATCTCAAGAAATATCAAAGCTCGACTCGGATTCTGCTGGCTCGAA